AATTTATATCCGTTTGTAAATGCGAAAGAAATCAATGATAATTAAAATTCATGCCAAATTGTTTATTTAAATTTTTATCACTTTTAACTAATCTTCATTCATTGATTATAACCAAATAATCTAATTTCACACTCTATTAAAATAAATTAATTGGAAATCATTCACAATAAAATTGTTTAATGAACTTGATAAATTTCTCAATAGTAGATTATTTTATTTCCTGAAGGCAATTTCGACATTCTAATGAGTTTTAATCATGACGAAACGCACCGAGTTATTATTGACGCACCGAGCGCTCTCAGCCGTTTGTTATTAGATGTTCTCACGCAGCGCGGCGAGCGGAAAACAAAAATATTATCCCGCGATTCATGAATAAAAACGATGCGTAAGAAAACAACACAGCACATGCGAAGGGGATAAACAAGGCGAGCTGTGTATATAAAATAATACTAATGCGCACAGCCGCCTCATTATCTCGCGGAAAACCGCTCGCGGCACCGATGAATGGAGAGAGAGAGAGCAGCACTTTTATATAAATACACACTTGGAAAAATTAAAAACCGGCAAGCAAAAGAAGTGCATTTCGTAATCGAGAAGAGGTCTTGCTCGGCACAAAGAAAGAAACACACCTTCCGCCTTCATGCATTTGTGTTTAATTCCGAGTGCTGGAAATAAATAAAAAACCATTTTCCTCGGCAATCGTCTCACTTCAATTCCGGCGAGTGCCGAGCTCCTGTACTGGCGACAAATTTGAAATAAAAGGAGACAAAAGCTGCTGCTCTCCTCAACTTGAAGGCTTGTGTGTCACTCGTTTTAATTTTGCATGAGGTCTTTTGTTTTTATGAACAAATATGAAGTGTTCATGTTAGCATACCATGTTCTTAATTTCATGTAACTCTAATTTTTGCATGTAAAAGATATTATGCAGATTTTTGGTCATATGTTGTGGTAAATTTTACAATTTATTATGCCTTAATTGAACAAAACTACAAAAAATATTAAAAGATGAATTACAATTTTAAAAGTATCCAATTTTCCAGCTGTCCAAAATGAATGTTTCTGTCACAACACATAAATTCATTATAAATTTGTAGCACATACATAAATTATTTAGAAATTGAAGAAGCAAGTTTTTGTATACACGTGTTTTGTAAGTTAATTATTATTATCAAAATATTAAAATTAAAAGAAGCTTATAATTAGCGTTTGATATATTTAAAATTAATTGTCAATTATATTTTAGTTAATATGAATTCTTTGAAATTTATTCAAATAAATTTAAAATATTTATTGGAAAGGAACTGAAAAATGTAGAAACTACAATTAAAAAATAATTTACAACTACACGGTTAATTATATATATATAAATTGAACCTACTTTCAGAAAAACATTATCACTGTGTTCCTGATGGACAATGGATCGGATTCTTGTAGCTTCATATTTATCATATTTATTTTACAAAATTATTAGATACAAGATACATACAACCTGTCGTCTCTCCTTATTAGAAGTTTTGATTCACGCTAAATTCAATTCCAAGTTTTTTCTGTTTGGACTTCAGCACTCAAACAGAAAACCAAACTTCATTCTTATATTAAAATATTTTGAAATTTGTTTTCGTCCCCCAAATAAGACAAGTGGATTTTCATAGATTTTTACAAGAGATTTTCCTCTAGTTTATTTTAAGAAATCATATGTGTCTTTCGTTTGTGTTTATTAGTGCTATTTTTGAATTTTTAATTACAAAAAGGGTAGTTTTTCCAAAAGTTATTATGCTGAGGAGAAAAAAAAGTATGTTATATTAATATTACTATTGTTAGTTTTGCCAATTCCAGGCCTTCAATCCAAGTTGGAGTTTCTGGATTATTGGTTTAATATTAATCAGTTTTGTTATCTTATTAAATATTTTTTGTTTGAAAATAAATCATTTTTTTGGTTACTTTTTACTCTCCGCAGATCTGTTGGCCTTTGCTAAATAAATCATCAGCAGGACTCGAAATTTCTTGCCTGAAAAGGATAATGGCAAGTTCACACGAGTGCTTAACAAGATGCATCGCGCGTGTACGACGAGTGTGTGTGGATGTGCGATTCAGCAGCTCACCCTTTTTGTCTCTCTTCTCGTGTACAAGAGCCGCTCTTTATCTGAGGGGCTGGATTGCCGCTGCAGTCGCTCCATATATACGGTTGTGTGTTATTTATTATGTGCGGCACACACGCTCTTAGGTGTCACTTCCAGCGTGACACACACACACGTTGCAAAAAGAAGTGCGAGAGATGACTGTGTCGAGATATACCACGCTAAGCGTGTGTGTGTCGCGCGCGCACTTTTTGTCTCTTCTTGAGAGCAAACAGCAAAAAGCAGCTTTTGTATGAAACTGCGCCGCGCTTGTAGCACCTACAGCTCTGAAAATATATAATAATCTCAAGTCCTTTGTACCCTCCAATCTGCGAAAATGGATCAGCAGAACACATCAAGGCGAAAAAAAAATGAAAATTTTCATTGAAAAATAATATTCCTTTAAAAAATTTATTTCCGTTACATTTAAATTCTTCTCTTTATAATTTAACAATGCTATTGCCATTGCTCAATATATGCATCATTGCCCAATATTGAATAACACAAGATTTATAAAAGTTAATATTCAATATAACAGCTGCATTAATTAATATTTACAAATAGATTAAATATTATGAAATGTAGTGAAAATTAAATAGATACAAAAAGTGATTGAAAAAGACTTTTCAAGCTTCATATTAGATTCATGTATCAACTTTATCAAGTTCAAGATATTAAACACTGTCTATGATTTTTTACTTGTAAATTAATTAACTGCCATTTGAGATCGTCTTAATATTAATTATGTTTTAAAAGCTTATAAATCTGGTTTATTTGCTCATAATTAAGCTGGAAATCTTTTGTAAAACAAATGGTTTTTATAAAAATAAAAACACAAAATTAAATTTAATAAATTTAAAAAATAAAATACAAGCAAAAGTAGAAAAATTAAATTAAAATTTAATTATATTTTTATTGCAATTTATGTGTTTTTTATTAAAGTGGTTAATTATGTATTAATTGCTGTTATTTTTTATAGTATTCTTTATGTAAATTCAAGATTTTTATACAAAATCTGTACATTTTCAGATATTTATCCTTGATTGATTGATACTTGAAATTTAGAAATCAAAAGTGGATTTGTCCTTTTTTAGTTTGTTGCGTTAAATTCAAATTTATTACTTCTCTGTTACTTCAATAGCTTTTAGATTCCCATACATAAGTTTATATTTCCATTACTATTCCAAGAGAGTAAATATGGAGTATCACATTATTTCACGCATCACTTCATATAAAGTGCAACAAACGACACAGCAACTAATCCAAAACGCAGGCAATTTCCGCCGTCCCCATGATTTCCACTCACATTCGGGCCATTCCGGCGCTCGCAATTTTATTAATTAGAGTGCCAGACAATTATATTTCGTTTACACGAAAACGTCTTGAGAGGAATAACTCGCTGCGAAGAAGTAGCAGAGATTTGGCGCGTGTTGCGCGGGCGGCATAACTCGCAGGGGCTCCCCCTCCGTTAATGAGCCGGACCTGACCGAAATTGCGAATTAAATCGGCGGCCGCTTTTTGACGTCGGCCCCTGGGAAGTTGCCCGCTCTCTCTAATCCGGGGCGAAACTATGCGCGGCGAAACATACATTTGGCCCCTCGGCTTTGTTATTGCACGCGTGCGGAATGCCTATATCTCCTTGTATAATAACACCTTGGGCTCTATCTTGAGAGCAGCGCGAACAATATTGCTCATGGTAAGGAGGTTGCTTGTGTATGCAAACAATATCGCTCTCCTTGGAAGAGAGAGAGAGAGAACATCTTTCTCCGCGTTTATACCTTCCAATAAATATATCAAAGTTGCAATATTGCAGCCCCGAGTTATGCGGGCGAGAGGAGAGAAAGGCTTGATAATGGAATTAGACTGCCGTGTTATATTATGTGCAGTACATATTTCGTGGCCGTTTGCTCATAGTTTCGGCCATTGTGCACGCGCCCTTGAAGATATTGCTTTCCTGCTTTCGCGAACCTTTTCTGTCCGAGACGGTTATTTACTGCCCCGAAGAGAGTGAAAATTGAATTTCCAAGGAGCTGAGCAGTTAGAAAAGCGTTTAATGTTGAATGAAAGATGTGGAGATTGCTTTTGAACACAAATTAAATAATAAATTATTTCGTAAAAAGTCTTATTGGACACTGAAATTTAGAATAAATTATATAATTTATTATAAAATTTTGAGAGTTATGTTTGTTTAAACATCAACATTTTTTAAATTTTATTATTAAGAACTTCTTTACAATAAAATATTGAATCAACAAATTAAGCAATAATTTAAAATTATAATTAATAATAAAATAAATAATAGGAACTCGCAAAACTTAAATTTAATTGCAATTTGAATAGAATGATTTATAATTATTTATTTGAATATAAATTGCAGTGAATCTGGAATTTTTTATTTTAGAAGTTGAGACAATTTCCAGCTAATGGTGGTGCCGTTTCCAACAATTACTTCTCTATTTGAGGAATTTGTTTTTCAACAATTGAATGTTGAATGTTAGCATTGGGATTGCAGCAATTGGAATAAACTACAATGAAAATAATTTAAAACCTCCTACAGCGATAACTTTTGAAAAAAATTTTATGAAGAACCAAGTAACTGGATTCCAATGAAAAGTATTTTTTCCAGGACTTAAAATTGAGGCACTATCGAATAAATGTTTTAAAATCTTGCAGTCCAGTAACACGGTTCTTCATTTAATTTTGAATTGTTGTCTTAGGGAATTTTCAGCATATTTTAATTTATTTCAATCCACTGTTTTTGTCCGAAAGAGGCTTGCTTTTACTTTTTTTTTTTGTAAGGAATGGCTAAATTATACAAAATAAAATCCTCTTGTCCTTGAGCAATTTTAATCAACAACAATGCTCTCTCTCTTCTGCTTTCAGATGGCAACACAATGACTTTTCGGACTGAGCGTCGCTGGTGAGTCGCAAAACTTTCCTTCTTTTCCTTTCCGCAATAATTAATTCCTGCCGGCCGTGCTAAACATAAAACAAGCCTTGAGCGAGTTTGGACTGAAAACGGACACAAGCAGGGGTAGTGCAGAGGCCGGCATTGTACAAGAGAGCGGATCCGTCCCAAACGCTGTCTGTAACTCCCCTCGCGATTATTTATCCTAGCTGCTTTTTTTCCTACTTGCATCTCTCGGAGAAGTTTCGACCTGGCATCTCTCGTGAGTAGTAGTGCGGACAGAAAAGGGCGGAGTGACAAAAGGGCTATACACAACCCTACTAGGGCGGGTTCGCGCATGCATGCTGCGTCCTCCCTCTCGCGAAAGCGCCGGCCTCGCGCCAGCAAATACGTAAGACCAACAAGCAACTCTCTCGTCACGTGCGAAATTACATATTTCCACAGAAGAAGAAGTCGGTGCGAAATTAAAGAGAGATGAGGTGCAATTTGGCCTCCCCTGTGTGGGTGTCACGGTCGCGAGTGGCCACTTAAAGCGCCGCCGATTGATTTTCCTCCACTCGTGTGCAGCTGATGAAAAGGGCGAGAGCAAGTTGGGTTGAAAAACTTTGGCCAACTTTTGCGCATATGTGTCTTCCCTAGTTTGACCTCCATTCGTGTCTGTCCGCGTTTTGCGAACCATTCTTGCTTATTTTGGCACTGCCGGGGTTCAGACAACTTTTTAAAATAGACTTGGAGTAATTCGTTGAAAAGCGCCTGAAAACAAATTTGTCTGCAAATCAATCACATTACGCAAAAAATCTCCATTATTCTTGAAATTGATTGCTCTCTTCATCCGTCTCTCTTTTCAAATAATTCCATTTTAAACTTTGAGACAATTTTGTTATCAACTTTATATATTTTTTAATAGATCTAGTTCAATCTAATTATAATGGTCTTGTGTTCTTTGTTTCATCCCTATTAAATGAAAAAAAAACTAGTTGAGATGAGGTTGTTTGAATGTTTTTGTTTACAAAATTAATTTATAATATAAATTTAAAAGTCATAATATTTATTTTATGAAACTGTCAAATATTCAGTATTAATTTATATATTATATTATTATCATTTATTTGATATTTTTAATTTTAAATTTAAAAAGTTCATATGTACAATAATTGTAATACTTTTTAAAGCATTAGTATTTGGGACAACAATACATAATATAAAAAATTATAATACAAAACCACAAACTCAAAGAAGAGATAATAAAGCGACAATTAAAATTAATTAAATATCCTCTTTCCGGTTATTGCACATATTTTTTAATTGAAAATTCAAAATTCTTAATTTTAAATACAAAGATTTTTGACACATCTATTATAACCGTCATCTGAAAGAGTTCATAAATTATTTTTAACCAATTTAATTTAATGAATGAAATTTAATTTGCTAATTGTTTGAAGTTCTAGTATTCAAAATAAGAAAAATAAAACTATTAATACATTCTTTTCTGCACACTTTCCACGCCGACGGTCGTCCGAAGGAAATTGTGCCGCTCAATCCACTTTCTCTTTCTCAACTTTCCCGAAATGTAATCTCCATAAATTCCGAGACGCGCTTTTCGGCGCCGCCGGCACATCAAAACTGCGCCTCGGCTCTCCGCACCGACAGAGCGAGTTTGTCTATTTTCCGAGAGCAGCTCATTGTTATTAACTACCGCGCTGTAGTTATTTCATCCTTTACAAAGCGCAATTTGCATTTCATGGCAACTTAACGATCTTAATTAGCAGCAAGCATAGCGTAGAGGTGAAGCCTAGTGCGGCGGAAAATGTGTGTGTGTGTAAAAGTAGTCAAGACGCACGCACTCGCCGCCGATCTTGTAGAGGAGAGAAGATGCGCCTCGCTCCGTCCTGTTATCGAAACGATAAAATTTCTTGGCAATCAAAGAGAGGCGCAAAGACCGAAAATCTCTAATTATTTTGTAATTTTCTAATTTAATTCCAAATTAATTTCCCCAAACATTTTTAAATTTCTTACTGAAATTTATAAAAGTTTTCAAGAAAAATATTTTGATTTAAACAATTATGTAAAAAAATATTTATATAATTACTGAATTAATTAAACTGCGCAAAAAACATTCACTTTTTGCTTCTTTGTCAGTTTTTCTTCATTTATTGACAACAATTATTAGAACGTTAATTAATTTTTTATACTGTGAACATTCCTATCAAATCTCTGTAATTACAATAAAAAATTCAAGAATACATTGCAACCTGTTTTCCGATTGATGGTAAATCAAGGCAAGTTTCCCTTTGCGTCTCTCTTGCTGTAAAATACAGTGCTTGGCACCGAAACTCTCGACCGGCGACATAATTCAGCAAGACTCTCCACGGCGGCTAATGTTGCGTTAATCCAAGTAAGAAAGCAGTGAATAAAAAGGGTTGAAGGAGGTGTACAGGGGAGTCACTCCCTCGAAAACGTACAGACAGACCGCAATCTTTTACCAACACGAAAGCAAGCAAGGACCGACGAGCCCCTGGAGGATAGGCAAGCGACGCATCAAGTCGCTCGCTTTGAATTGATCGCCTTTAACGCTATTAGAAGAAATTATGGAAGCAGTCGAGCGCCGCCGACCCCGAGGAGTAAGAAAGAGAGAGAGAGAAAGTGAAATTATGGAGATTTCAAAGACTTCGGAGAAACAGATTATTATTCGTGTGGGACAACTTTTAAAAAGCTTTTGCAATCTGTTCAGAATCAGAACCTGGCACCTGCAATAATTGAAATATTTGAAAGTTTTAGGAAAAAACTACTACAAATAATTTCTTTTCGCTTAAATTTATGGATTCTGTCCAATTTCTTTTTATTTTTTCAGATTACATTTACAAAGAGATATATTATAAAAATTTACTGGATTAAATTCACAAAATAAAATCATAAATCATAAGCTTGTAGGCGATAACTTATTGGAAATGTTTAACAAAACTTTATTCCCAAGCGAAGAAACCGCAAGTTTTGTATGTTTTTGAAATATTTGTATGTTATATATTATTTTTATTATTTTTATAAAAATGACTGGAAGGATATAAATGGTTTAAAAACTAAAAATCTAGATTTTGGCATTAGATTGTTAAATAAATAAATAAAATTTGCAACTTAAACTTTCCCCTTTGTTTCAATTTTTAATGCGGGGGAGAGACTTATTTGGAAATCTTTCCATATCTCCCGAATAATTAAACGGAAGCCGTGTGATTTAGCGTGATAAGCAAATCTGGTCATTGGCGCGTGACGTTGTAACTTTTTGAGTTTCGTTATAAATTCGCACCCCTTCCACGGCATTACGCAATTATAAAGCGCAGGTCAACACGGCGTTGCATTTATTCACAAAAGCAGGATGAAGGCGATGTGCTCTCTTTGCACTTTTCCTCTCGCGCTCCCCCCGCAGCAAGAATTTTTTCACTTGAATGCTCCTGCGCGCTTTATAATAATGCGACTTGCTCCATACACGGTGTGCAAGATCGAAAAAGTCTTGTGTGTGTGTGGAAGTGTACGCAGCATAATAACATTACACGCACCAAAAGGGGAAAGGAAGAAAGAGAGACGCACACATAATGCCGAAATTTATTGTTTTAATTTATTTTTATGGGGGGTGACTTTAAAAATTCTTATGGTCCACTTAGCCGCTGCTTATTCTTACTCTTTTTAATGTCGCTCCTTTTCCGAGGCCATTAGAATTATTATTTTGGCGGTTGCAAAAAAAGCGGCAGATTTATTCGACGCGCGGCCCCTTATTACTTTAATAAGTTCATAAATTGTAACGACCGGACAACAAAAAGAGATCGCCAGCATATATTTAGTTGCAAAAAGGTGTTTATTGATGTCTCAGTAGGGTAACTATACGCCATTCTTCGACATATCAAGAAAGTTTTACAATAACCATTAGCTTGGAGAGAGAAACTTACATTATCAGTTGATTACAAAAAATTAGTTGAACACTTGAAAAACCAGAAAAAACACATTGATTGGGCAGAAAAACAAAATTTAACTTGAATTCAACACTTCGGCTGTCACTTAATCGGTTTCAACATTATCTTGAAAGTTCGTATCAAAGACTATCTTCGCATGATTCTCACTCAATCAGTCACTGTTGCTGCCAACACTTTCGCTGCTGCCACTGCTGCTATAGTCATCTGTTGATAAAGCAAGTACACGTTTTATACTAGGGTCCCTTTTCCATTCTCTGACTTCTTGTATGCTTTTACCCCATTTACGAGCTGTTAATTCTGTGTTTGACATTGACCTTGATTTAACTGGGGCCATTGGTGTGGATACCTTAATCATAAGCTCCGCACGAGGCGAAATGGGCAAATTTTGCGGGACATATATTTATTAAAATTTTATCCACGAAACGGTCGAGGACCAGCGGAATTTTAATTGGCGCGGTTAATTATTTTGAGATATCGGCCGGACCAAAGTGCTTATGCGTACGCGAATTTGCATTCTGAAAAGGTCACATTCCCTCACGGAGCGACTCGGCGACCGAAAAGAGCTAAGGAGAAAAAATTAAGAGCGCCTGATGTCACGTGACGTGCACAACCGCAGTGCACGCGTGCAATGCAGGATGCATAACCGCATCTGGCAAGAAGTTTGATAACCCATTTGAAAATAATTTATTAATTATTTCAAAAATAGTTAACAAATTTATAAAATAAAAATGTATGCAATCACTCTTTTTTGGGGTTACATTTTTATTTAAAATCATAAAAAACCAAACAAAATATAAATTGAGTTTCAACTAAAATATATAACAATACAAAAAATGTATTGCAGTAAATTTAAAATAAAAAATTAGATATTCATAAAAAATGGCAATTAATTTAAATTAAAATGTATTTAGACTTAAGTTATTAATAAAAATCATACCGAAAAATATAATATAAGATAAGTTTCAATCTTAATTCTTAAGGAATCAAATAAATATGTGCAGCAAAAAATAAATTTGATAAACGGGCTAAATTTTATTGATAGTTTGATTG